GCGGGGCGGCTTCGCGGGGGCTCCGCGCCGCCCCGCGGCCGCGCCGAGCTCGGCGGGCCGGGGCAGGTAGGGCCGCGGGGCGGGCAGGGCGAGGGCTGGGGAAGAGGAGGAGGCGCTCCGGCTCCGCAGCGCGCTAGCTCCGTATCAATTATTTACTCGGTATGTGTGCCTTTAATAACGCAGCGCGGCTGCAGCGGGCTGGGCGGGAGCGCACCGCATCGCCGAGCCGCAGGAGCACCCTGCGTGGCTGAAGAAAGAGACTCGGAGGGAAGAACCGAAAGGTGAAGGGGGCATTTCTGAGATCCAGAGGGCGGCGAGGAGACGTGCCTGCATCGCTTCAGTCAGCCTGTCGCATCAGTACACACTTTGAAGAAAATTATATCCTGTTAGCACCTGACGTTAATTGTAAAACAGGCATTTCAAATTTGTGAAGGTTATTTTTATGTTAAGCTAAATTTACTTCAGCGTGTAAGTGCCTCAGACTATTTTCATCGTAGAGCACAGCCCGTGCATTACTGAAATGTGCGGTTATTTTTTTCTTTGTAAGAAGGGAAGGAGAGAAAACAGATCAATATACGCTTGTACACGTGAGCACAGCTAGTGAGCACAAAATAAAAAAAACAGAAAATACTTGTGTGCATTAGAAGAGGATGGGTGTCATTGCCAAATATAAATGGAAGAGCAAGTTGTTGATGGAATTTCATGTACTTGATCTCGTCTCTGCTAGCAAATTATTGTACACTATTAATGCCTTAGATCTTCCTCCCTTTAGCTCTTTGTCTTACAGAGGACACCAGAAAGGTTTCACATCTACACCACTTCAGTGTGTCTCTGTGTCCCTTTGGTGGGGCTTCCCTGGATTCTGCTCTGAGGAGCACTCAGTACTTCAGAGGCCCTACAGCCTCTGCAGGTGACACTCTTTCCTCCTCTCTGAATATTCCTTGCTGAAATGTGGTCCCTGCCAAGGGAAGTCTCCTCTTTCTATGTTGCAGTGTCCTTTTACATCTGATGGCTGCTATCACTTCCCTGTGCCATGTTTTCTTTAAGATGACCAGCTGCAATTTGTCCAGCTGCTTCTGCTGCAGTCTCTTTGGCCACTGACTGCAGCTCTCTGGTCTCTCCTCAGCTGGTGTCTGCAGCCCGTGCTGAGCAGTGCCCCAGCCTCTGTGTGTGCAGGGGGTAACCCTGCCTGCAAAAACAATTCCTCTCGTTGATTTCAGTGATGTTCTTTGCTTTCCAAGCAACTTCTTAGGGTTATTTTGAATTCTTATGTCATCGTCTAATGTGTTTACAGTTGCTCCCCAGTTAATGCTATCTCAGAAGGCTGCTAACGAAACACCCCCTTTGGAACTGCATTTATAATCCACCCTCTTGCTTGTAAAACACTGACAATTGCTGTTTCCAAACTTCTCTACTGCCTGCCCAAATTTTTCAAATTAGCTGAACTCCCTTCCTCATAAGCACATGCATAGAGCCTAACCAAGGCACAGATGAGTGGAGTCCACTCTCCCCTCTTCCATGACATGCTCTGCTTCTCATTGCCAAGGGAAATTTGCCCAGATTGTCCCAGTTTCTAGCTGACAAGTTCATATTAATAATTGCTATTGTTTCCTTCTACCTCTCTACAAATCATGTGTCTATTTGTACTAGATGCTTTCTGGGACAAAAATCTGGCTTATTTATTTTCGAATGCCACTTTTAAAGATAGGCATCAGTTTGCTTATTTCTTGCCCATCTACCCTGGATTCTCAAAGATAGTCATGAGTGTTTCCAGTGCTGAGTGTTTGAGCCACTTCCTTCACTAACCTGGCATAAAGTGCAGCCAGACTGTTGGTTTGAACATCTCGATGTTACCTAAGTACTCTTGTAACTGGTTCTGCCCCAGCCTGGGCTGAAGCCTTACTCCCTTGTCATTAATGTGTATCACATCAGTCACCTGATCAACAGGGACTTCTTTTAGCTAAGGCTCGTGCAAAGACTGAGGCAGTCTGAGCCCTCTCTGGCATCTCTCAATAGCTCTCTCTCTCTGATGAGTAATCCACCTGCTTTTGACTTCCTCTTACCACTGATGTACTTATCAAACAATTTCTCATTACTTGGGATGCTCTTGCTAGTTAACTTTTATTTGTTGTATTGGGGCTTTTTGTGCTTGTCCTTACCCATTCTTGCCAAGCAGCACTTCTACACTCATTCCATGGAAAGATCTGCTTTCTCTGTGCTTGTTGTCTTGTGAGCTCATGATTAGCCCAATTGCCTGCTACCTAACATACCTAAATTTCTTCTGCAATGTGATCAATTTGTGGTCTTCTAGAAACTCCCAGCTACCACTCACTGTCTTTTCCCACTAAGGGGAAAAGGCCTCATCATGGCTTGGGACTGGCAGGTTGAAATGCTGAGGGGAAGAGAACTTTAGGAATGGAGGTCTCAAGTTGGAGTTCTGAGGATACAGAAATTTGACTAAAGAAAGCAAAGAATTGAAAATGGGAGAAATGAGAAGGAAAAGAAGAACCATTAGAGAAGCAGTAGGTGTAGTAGATCTGTAGAAAGAGAATAAAGTCATACAGTACAGTGAAAAGCCTGTAATGAGAGGTTACAACCCTTACCCAAACTGATCAAACATTTTCATCCCAAACACCTTCTCTGGGCTGCTTCTACATCCTGAGTTTTTGTTTGGAATGGAAGAATTTCAAAGGTAGTATTTTCCTACTACCTTTGAAGGTTACATATTTTGCATAGTAGGAGTTCTGCCCTTGAAACAGTGATCCTCA